GCCCCTTCTCGGCGGTGGTTAAAATAGAATCGCCTCGTCAAAATTGAAATCCCCTATTAATGTATTGATTATAGGTCCGGGTCTGTATAGGTCGGCGTCTGGGTCCGGATCCGGACCACGGTCCGCCTGTTGCCGACCCCTGGCATAGAGTGATACAAGACTATTCTGAAGAACTGTTTACCAAACGAAACAGAAATGTCCCAGGACAAGTGGCTCACAGGGATAAAACACTGCCTTGAAGACTGGAGGTTGAGGGTTCAATGCTTATCACTTGCGATGAGGTAAGGTCCAGCAGCCAGAAATAATGAATTCATATAAGCAGAGAGAACAGTTCTACATTAACATCTGGTAGTGGTGCTATACTATGACTTTCTTCTGATTTGTTTCACAACCCACACCAAGAGAAACTCTCTACCAGAAAACTGACAGACTGCTCAGGTCATTTAGCTCAGAGTGATATGAGACGTATCACAGGACCAGAGGTTGTGAGTTTGATTCTTAGAAGGAGCAGTGATTTGAAACCTTGAGGTTAAAGAAGAGCAGTTTACATATGTCCATGGTAGCTAATAGCTATTCTAGGCACAGCTTTAGGATAAACTTGAGGTTTTCTTATGTTCAATACCCAAAATGTAGATATAAGTTTACCAAACGAAGTGGATGACACTCAGGTCAAATGGCTCACAGGGATCAAACACTGTCTTGAAGACTGGAGCTTGTGTGTTCAATCCTCTTTATTGGCACTGGTTTTTCAGGTGAAATATTTTAAATGATACTCAAATAAGCAAAGAAAATGTTTCAATGTGTTCGTGCCTCAATTGTATGACATACTATACTATTAATGCTTTTCAGATAGACTATGACCTTTTGAGATATTCTTTGTATCAGAAAGTCTACCAAACACCACAACAGAGTCTCAGATCAAATGGCTCAGTGAGATACACTATTGTTCAGAAGAACTGAGGTTTAAGGTTCGAACCCCAGGAGGTTCAGATATTTATTTGAAATGTAACACCCAAAGTGTAGAATTAGTTTACCAAACGAAAACATTCTGGCCCAGGTCAAATGGCTCACTGGGATAAAACACTGCCTTGAAGCCTGAAGGTTCAATCCTCTTTATTGGCCCTGGTTTTCAGGTAAAACATCCAAAATGGTGTGAAAAAAGCATAGAGAAGTGTTGCTAGAACGCTGCTCAGGTGAGCTGAGGTTTTGAGTTCGATCCCCATGAGGTGTGTAGCAAGTGTATTAGCTGTAATTAAATGAGTGATATTCAGAAGAACTAGGAACGACTATGGAGCTCAATGTGTGTGAAAAATACAAACTGAAACCAGGTATGCGCCACAAAATAGTTGTATTCAAGATATCAACAAGTTCATTCAAATTCACATGATTATTTTCAGGTGCCCAGTAAAGGCAAAAGACAACAAAAGAAAAGCTTCCGGGGCTAAGTTCATTAATTTCCGTGTAATCCTACTTCACCATGTGGCAGGGAGGATAGGTTTAGAATCTTAGCTCGCCATCAAGGTCCATGAAAGGGCATCAGGTGCGGCAAGCACCTGGCAAAAAAAAAATATCCAAACAAAAAACCTGACCTGTAAAAGGTCACAAGGAATAATTAGTATCTTCCCCTTTAACATTTAAATAAAAATAAATCTCTTAAATAAAATAAATACATTTCTGGTTGAATAAATCTCTTAAATAAAATAAATACATCTCTGGTTCTACAACATTTCTATATCCATTTCTATACAAAACATTAATCAGCAAAACAATACTTCAGGGCTGATAGCCAAAAGCCCACAAGGTTACACTTAAAGCAATTGGGATCAGTGAAGACCCATGCATAAGATATTTCTATTAGCAATACTATTAGCATGCTAACCACTAACATTAAACATTTTACATACATTCTACCAATACAAGACTCACCGCTGATTGCAGCAATTGTTAACAAAACGTTAATCTGTTTAGGAATCGTGGAGGAATCCCTGTGTGTAGCATGTAGCATCAACGTAGCACTAGCATCACAAGCGACCAGCAAAGGAAACGGAAGTGACCAGGCTGCCATTTATACTGAGCTACGGGAGCCTGCTAGGTTTGAAGGTTTTTAACCTGGGTTACAGGTGCATAGATTTTTGAAAGTTTAACACCCAAAGTGCAAAATTAGATTACCAAACGAAAAAGAATTGGCCCAGATCCCAGGTTGGCTCACTGGTATAAAACGCTGCCTTGAAGACTGGAGATTCTTGGTTCTATCCTCTTTATTTGGAGGATAGTTTTATTGGATGCACTGCACAATAAATTGTTCTATTTCCTTTCTTACATTTTCATTGTGACATAATCTACCAAACAACCTAAAACATAAATTCACAAATGAATTAGCTCTGTGGGATACAACACTGCTTGGGTGAGCAGGAGTCTTGGGTTTCGATCCTCATGAGGTCCATGCATTTTCCATGTCTAACTACCCAAAGTAGACAATAAATTGACCAAAGGAGACGTAACTGTCACAAGTCGAATGGCTCGGAGGGATAGGGATAATAAGGCTCATCTCATGAATATTTCACCTCCTCCTTTCCCTCACTCGCGTCCCTTCCTTGCGTCTTAGCCAGTGGTGTAGTCTACTTTTTTGTAGTGGGTATACTGTAATAATTGTATTCATCCATCCTTGAGCGACGCATCGCGGAGCGACACCTCATGAACACCATCACACTCACTAATGCATAGACTAGTCTTGAGACTGTGTTATCAACATGTCAATGTATTATAAACATTTTTATGTGACTTTGAGTTCAAAGTCACATAAAAATGTTTATAATACATTGACATGTTGATAACACAGTCTCAAGACTAGTCTATGCATTAGTGAGTGTGATGGTGTTCATGAGGTGTCNTGTTTCTGTCCCTCTGCCCTCAGGCAGATCCCCCAATCAATGATTTGGAGTCATGACAGAGGACTCTTTGACAGAACGCACATACTCATTCCCCCTAAACATCTTCAACACACACACACATCCTATCATGTATCTTATCACACAACTGTCACATGTTTTCCCCTCTGAAAGCCATACTTGTAAATATCCAAACGCCATCGTCCCATGACGGCCACATAATCAGTCAACCAACAGAAGTTAACTGTTCCCATGCCCTAAGGTCTTCCCTGACCTTCTTCTCACCTAAAAGTCAGGTATCTGGAATGAATACATTTAAAAATGAGAACAAAGGACTATGTTCTCGTTTAACTGTGTGACTCAATTCTCAAGGCCTGCAGGATGTGCATCATTAACTAACAAGAATTTAACTGCATTATATCTAAGGAAAATGTCTCTGGGAATCCCCCTGTTAATTGCAAGGACTATTGATAATTAACAGAGAGACGCCAGGGGCCTCTTCTTGGTATCTGCTAGGCAGAAGTCAAGGCAGTTACTCAAGGCAGAAATCACAAGTTTAACACACATTCTATATAAGGTGACATTAAAATGAATATACCAGAAATACACTATATCAAACTTTCTGCCTCCCTCACTACCCAGAAGATGTTCCCCCTGACATAAAGAGACAATATATTCCTAACCCTTAGACCCAATTGCAGCATCATCCCCCAAGTCACATCAACTTCCCACACTACTCCAGTCATCGTAACGACAACATGCCCTCTACAACACGTCACTCCAGTGACACCTCACTTGATCTCGCCAAATATCTGGCACGCAGCCAGCTCGTGTCATCCGGACTTACAAGGTTCGACGATCGGCCGAAGAATGATTTAGCTTGGAAATCATCGTTCCTCAACACCATCAAAAGCTTAGATCTCACAGCTGGAGAAAAGTTGGATCTGTTAATCAAATGGCTTGGGAGGGATTGAGCAGAGCAGGCACGGCGTATTAAGTCAGTAAATGTAAGAAATCTGCCTGCTGGATTAGACCTCATATGGGAGAGGTTGGAGGAGACCTATTGGTCGCCAGAAGCTATTGAAAATGCCCTTTTTACAAAAACAGAGGACTTTCCAAAAATGACGGCTCAAGACAGCCAAAAGCTTTGTGAGTTAGGTGATCTGCTGACAGAGCTAGAAGCTGCAAAACTAGATGGCTACCTTCCAGGACTCTCATACCTTGATACTGCAAGAGGTGTCAACCCCATTGTGCAGAAGCTGCCGTGGGGACTACAGGAAAAATGGATGATGAGGGGATCTAGCTATAAAAGGGAATTCCACCAAATAGGATTCTAGAAAGACGGTACTTTCGTTGTTTCAGTCTGAGTAAGCCGCTGCAAAGAGGGTTCGCATGCCGCACCACTAAGCGATCGGCGCAAGTAGCCGCAGTGGAGACAACGAAGCCCGGTGCGACGCACCGAACGCTTTTGCCGTCACACGCTGGAAGCAGAGAGCAGAAAGGTGAATGTGGGGGTGAGATGGACTCCTTCTACAGTAGGAGCTGCAGCGGTGCAATAACAGCAGAAATTCAAACTTCTTTCTGACTGACGGCTGTCGAACGATTTACAGAGTTTTTTGAGTCTGGCACGTTACTGGATAACGAACAGTCAGATCATACCCGATGTAGAAGGAACGAGAGTAGCGCCGAGGGCAATTCCCATTTGCGAAGTGCTCCGTCTTAAAACCTCGTACTAAAGAGTGATTTTTGGAAAAGGTGTATGGGAGAGACCGAAAACTACACTAGCAATCCCAGCCCTCTGAGAAGGAGGTGCGGGCGTACGACACTGTCCTCCTCCTCTACCGAACCTCATGGTGACTCCCCCGCGACCTACTCCCGTCGACTACCGGGACAGTGACACTGTAAAAGACTCGTAAATAGCGACCGATTGGGGGGGGGGGGGGGGGGGGGGTCAAAGAACGGTGTACGAATCACCTACCGCTGTTGTGAGCTTGTCTACTTTTACGACAAAATCCTTTGAGAAGGGACGAAAGGGTCTCCGTAAAGAGACTAGGAGATAGTAAAAATTCACCCACCCCCAAACACTATATACCCCCGTAACAAATAGACCCAGAAGATACAAAAACCGAAGACTGGCCAGACGTTTTCCTCTGTCCACCGTTACTCCTACCTATAGCAAAATACTTGTCTATCTGGACCAAATGACATCGAGAGTTTAGCACAAAAAAACAAAACACCGCACTTTCAACTCCCTCTAATTTCGACCCCAGCAACCCGCACGAAACCCGGAAGACACCACGTGTTTGAAGCACTTTTTCTTTCCCCCCATT